AACATCCAATAATTCTATTAACAAGTGATTGCTTCTCAATAACCGCCTCTGATTGGCCAACAACAGAGGCGGACCCTAGTTTGGGTGAACCGCAGAAGATCCCTGTTGCGAAGCAACATGACCCTGCTGATTTCATACCCTTACCACGGCCACGCCAACTGCGATTGGTATTGTTAGATATGTGATGAGGTGGTGCTTGAGGTGGTGTTTGATGTTTGAATGTATCTTCTGGTGGTGGGGGTGGGGGTGGTGGTGGAGTATAAAAACACTGAGAAAGAGGATCAGGTTGTGGAGAAAATGATAGAGAATCCACCTTTTGTAAAATAATATTTAATCTCCAATCGATACCAGACTGCAAACCTCGTAGCTGTTCTGAGAAACGTTGTTCAATACCCTTAAGTGAATTTTGAACATAAGAGATTGATGCTATTTTCTTAAGAGAAATGTCATATTTAGGGGATAAAAAGGCTATCATTTCTTCTTCTGAAAACAAGTATCTCTTCTCATTTGACTCCATGGTTGAAAAAAAAATGAGAAAAAAAATAATCCCCGCCTGTCACGCGGGAGACCGGGGTTCAATTCCCCGTCGGGGAGCCAATTTGTAGTGGGGGGTTTCCAACAATAAACACCTTGATATGTTTATATAGCCTCGAGTGCCCATGTTCCGGTGATATAAGAACAGGATTGAGAATAAATCCAATTTAAAGAATGAAAAAAACAGTTTTAGCATTTGCCAAATAAAAACAAATAACTTACCTTCAAAATGCCTTTGTTTTTATTAAAATAGCATAAGTAGTTCATGATTTTTTTTCAAAACTTTGACCACCTTCCAAAAATTCTTCTGTAAAAACATGGTGCCCTGATTCCGGTGACGTCATACACATGCTAATCAAGGGGGGTAACTCCGAATAAAACAACAATTAGGCCACTCTCACATTTTTATGTTGGGTTCTACAGGTACATATGGTTTTATACATAGTAATTCTAATTCAAAACATAAATTTTTCACAATTTTAATCAGTTATCATTTTATGGAACATATTCTCAAGGAATTAAATTGTCAATTTAGTTTATTTACATCTTGTAATCAAGTCACAAATATGCTAGGATGCATGCAAATTCACTCTTCCTCCTTGCAACATGGGCAAACAAAGTGATCTCCACGCCTTAAGACTCTTTCAGAAGTACAATAAATCAAATGCACCCAGTGGCCACAAGAATCACACTGCCCCCATGTTGTAAACTTTACAAAATTGCAGTTCAACAGTTCAACTGGGGTAAATTTTTTGCATTTACAACAAAGTTCAGACTCATCAATTTCACTGTCAGTATCTGACACATTTTCTACAATATTTATACATGATGGCCCAGGTTGTGGTGATGGTGGGGTCTTCTTTTGCTGGTTACTCTGCTTAACCTTAGATTTTGACTTGTTAGATTTTCCTTGTTTTTCAACATGCTCAGTCATTTGTTTCAGTACAGACTCATTGATTTCCTTACCTGCAACAATTTTACTCATGGTATTTCTTGGTTTTGTTTTGTTTTCATTTTTTACCCTTTTAAGACTAGCCTCTTTCTGGTGCAAGAAATTTACAATGTCCTGAGACATTTCATTTAACTCTGACTGGACCCCACCTATCACTGTTGCCTGGCTATCATCACTGATATCAGTGTCAGAAGAACATGATCTGAACACCTCTGCAGGTAGAAGTTTCTCCTGTGCAATGGCCAAGGGATCAAACGGGTAAATGCCTGCACGGCGGAATGCAGCCTGGACATTTTTTGGGGTAAGAGCAGCTAGATAGGATGAACAAGATACTTGGCAAATATTGTATCTGGTAATTACTGATGAAACTTCCCTAATGAGCTTGTGACATTTTATATCATATATTTTCTGAAAGGGGCCAAAACATCCTACATCCATGGGCTGAAGAATGTGGCTACAATGGGGTGGCAATATGAAAATAACAATTCCTAATTTATGTGCCCATTCAGAGAGACCTACAGACACATGAGACTTATGCCCATCTAGGATCACAAGGATTTTCTTATCATTGCGTCCAGGAACAAATTTAAGAAAGTGATGTTCTAAATAGTATCTAAAAATGCTGCCATTAGACCAGCCGGTTTCACTAACTGTTCCATCAGCACCTGAAATGTAAAAATAGTTTGATTTAACTTTGCCAATATAATATTTTTACTGTGAAAAAAGTCTATCAAATATGCTAAAAAATATCAGTATTAAGATATTTGTTAAATAGTTAACTTTTTTTTAAAATTAAATAATTAACCTGGCGATGCTCCAATCATAAGCTCAGACCTCATGCGTTGTCCTGGAAAAACAAGATAAGGGGGGATAGCTTGTCCAGCTGCACTTCCAGCACCAATCAAAGTTACCATCTGTCCCTTGCCAGAGGTAACAGCAGAGGGGATGTAATCAGAACTTGCCACTACATTAGGAGGCTTATGTTCAACTTTGACCGCCTTTTCATCAATGTTGAAAATCAAATGGGGTTCAATGTTGTGGTTTGCAATTGTTTCTTTTAAGTTGATGAAGTACTTCATCACTGTATCACGTGATGCCATTTTTGCACGCGCGTGCTCTAGACCCTAGAATGGAGAATAATAATATGTTTAAGAATAACAATTGATTGAATACAAATTATGAAATAATACATTAAAAAGCATATTATGATATAGGTATACTGTAGTAGTCTGTACTTGAAAATATTTAATTATTAGATGTGAATTATTTCAATATAAAACAAAAAAATACCTACTTTTGGTTTAACAACCTTTAATTCTGGCCACCTCTTTAAAAACCCTCTCATCCATTTCATCGTGAGTGGTCTATCCTGAGTTCGGCGACCTAACTGGACAGCATAATCAGTGGCAATGTCAACACACTCTTGTCTTGTGTACCCATGGCCATATCCTGCCATAGTTTTGAAATGGCTGACAAGATTAGCCTCTTCATACTCATCAAACAAGGGTTGTCCACCAGCAGACAGAGTATCAATATGAACTAACCCTAAAGTTCTGTCCCTAAGGGTACTCTCTGGGACACCATAGAGTTTTGAAGCTTTTCTAACTGATGTGCCATGCTCCTTTATATGCATATAGGCATTTGTCAATGCTGTAGGGGAGTAAAGCCTGTTTTTACGGCGAATTTTCTTTGGATTTTGCTGAAAAGCAATTTTGAGATAAAACAAATGATAAAAAATCACATAAGAAATAGGTCTGAAAACCACTCATGAAAAATGTGCTTAGCCCTAACTTACCGAAAATTGCATGATGGGAAAATGTCAATGGAGGTTTGTTTACAAACATAAATCAGCTGTCAAATTTTCAAATGATGTTTTTGCAGCAAAAATAGGCAGATTTTGAAAGCAATGAATTGGAAATAGTAAAAAATACAAATTTACATCAAACTGAAATGTCATGACCTGTTTTACCTGCTTTGATCGCATTTTGAGTTGATTTTCTATTTGCTGTTTGCGTTCTGCAATACACAAAATTTTATCGAGCACTTGACGTATGACGTCATCGATTTCGCGCGAGATAGGAAGTAAACAAAAATCACCGGAACCAGGACTCCCACGGAATAAGGGCACTCGAGGCTATGTTTATTCAATAAAGAATAAAACCTGTAACAAATAATATAAGTATAAGACATCACATTACAACCAAATATAATACAAGACAAATACATTTCACAAAATACATAATACAGAATATTACACAACAATTCAAATTACAATAAAAACAATTTCACAAATAAATATATACAAATATACATACCAGGCTTTATATAGATGAGATCTAATGAAATAATAGAAATCAGAATCAAGTATTTCTATAAAGAAATTACTGAATGTTAAATACTTTTATAGCTCTTTACACTTCGAAAGCGAGACAAGGAGTGGTCAGTTACCAAGAAAATATTATATCCCAGAACCAAATCATCTAAAAATAACTTGCATACCAAAACCAATCATCCATCACTAAACTTGCAAAACCAGTTCAATCACTCATAACAAAAGGAACCAAGACAAACATGAACACATAACACCACAATAGATTTGGTTTGGCCTTTAAGGGAAATAACTACCGTATTTATTATAAAAAGTGAACTTGGCTTAATTTAACCTTATCTACACATATTTATTTACATCTAAGTTACACATAATATTTTTCATAATTATACTACAATATTTCATCAATGTGCACATTTATATACAAAAATCATTGTGAATTTGAAGAAATAGCAATTAACACAGCATTCCTTTAATGATAATTAAACATAAGTCTTTATGTTAAATAAAATTATCTGATTTAAGGAAATTTTACATTAGACATGAAAAATTGTCTTATACAATGTAATAAACATTTACTATGTTAAATTTGCGACAACAATAGAATTATTGAAGTCTTCAAAACACAAAAATACATATTTCTTTGGCATGGACATTTATATACAAAAAACATTGTGAATCTGAAGAAATAGCAATTAACATGGCATTCTTTTAATGATAATTAGAACATAAGTCTTTATTTTAAAATTAATTATCACCAGAAGGAAATCTTACATTAGACACGAAAGATATGTCTTAACCAATGTAATAAAATTTACCTATGTTAAATTTGCGACAACAATAGAATTATTGAGGTCTTCAAAACACAAAAATACATAATTGTTTGGCATTATCTTAATATATCATATGCGACTGTAATTGATAAGCCAGGCCTATTTTGGCATAAAATACAACAATAATTTCTTTAATTTCATTATGGTACCTTTGTACTCATATAGTATTTAACTTTCTGTTATGTTGAGATTTTAGTATGACCCTATATGGCTATGCAACATTGCTAATCTCACATATTAGTATTATTTTTTCTCAACTCTGTATATTAACATATTTCTTTATGCAACATGCATTAGTGGACTCTGACTTAATATAAATTTATGCAACAACAATGGTCAGCCACTTAAGTATTAACAATTTTGTTTTCAATCAATAACATATATAATATATTTGTGCGAATGTAACATTTACTATGGTAGAGGTTTAGTATTGTCTATGCAACATTGTTTTAACTCTCCATATAGTTTGATAATTTTCAACACATTTTGTTTAGCTTTGCTATATCATAATTTATGTCTCTGGATTGATTATTTAGTATTAAATTCAAATTTGACTGTCTTGTATAATCATCCTTTTCTGCTTTGAACACTTTCTTTTTTGTTTGACACATAATCCTTCTTTAATCCAATGTTATCTTTTTTGTAAAATTCAACGCAATTTTTTTTTCTTGACATATCTTTTTTTATTCTTTACAAAAATATGGCACAATATTCCTTTTCCTGATCTTTATTTTTTCTTGGTTTCGTCTTTGGTTTTTCGTCTGTTTTTGGTAACTTCTTTTTCTATTTTTTTTTCTGTTTTCTCTTTTTTTTCTCTTTTTTTGTTGTTTTCTTTTTTTTATGTCTTATTCCTCATCTTCATTTAATTACAATTTTATGCCCTTCTGTTTACTTTTGAAATTTTTTATTTTATACTCTTCAGAATTAGTTGTTTTTAATTGTAAAGTTCTTACTTTCTTCCTTACTTTTCCCACTATAGGTGTTTTCCATAAGTCCATATTTGTTTTCTTGTTTTGTTCTTCCTTTTCCATCACTAGCTGGATCTTCTACCCTCGGTATTCTCCGCCAAAATCTGTAGCCAAGGGTCACCGGCAGGGCCTTCACTTTCGGGTCTTGTGGGGAATCGAACTCGCTGGCGTAGTGAGCGCCCTACTTGGAAACCCTCGGTTGGTTGGGTGTGTGTGTGGGATACTGGTGTATTATTATTATCCAGTATCCTCTTTGTTATGATGACTTATTTTATAACTCAAAAGTCCAGTATGATGTTATTTCATTTATTTCTTTATAGCCCATTGAAAGTTCTCAAATACAAAATAATCATATAGTCCACACATATATTTTCACAGCTAGCACCTGAATTTTGCTTAAGTTAATTTTACTTATTTATTTTCTAAGTTAAGACTTGATGTTATATGTCCGAAATTCTATATAAGACTTTTAGATGTTCTCAGTTCCAAAATTAAAATAAGACTTTTAGATGTTCTCAGTTCCGAAATTAAAATAAGACTCATTTAAAATATAAAAATCGACAATATAAATTAAGAAGGAGTTGTCATAGTGTTTTAAGCCTAAAGCAATATTAGCAATAAATATCAAAAGATAATCTGGTATGGCTTGTTTGATAAAAGACTAGGAAATTGAGAATTAAGCCATAAAGTATTAAAATCAAGAGGTGATAATATTTCCTTATTGACCACTATGACATGCTTATACTATAGTTGTAAAATTTATCAGCTGAGAATCTAAAAGTAATTTTTATCAAAATATTTATGCAACATGAAATTCTTTTAATGATTATTAAAAATGTAAGTTATTTATGAATATTGAAATTATTAATGTTTTTTATAATTAATTTTCTAAAAGCATTTTGACGAGGAAATGCTATGTTACAAATCCGTGCTATTATATATAATTAAAATACATTTTAAAAATTTTAAAATCATGTAATAACACAGATTATGTTTCACGTTTACTTCAAATCGAATGTGCTCAAGATTTGACGGAGATGCAGTTTGAACAGAATAATGTACAAATAATTAAATCATGAATACCTTAAGAAGGGAAGAGAATATAAAAGTCAAGATGTCTAGGCTTCATTCCAAAGATATCGCTTAGCTTCCTCATCAGTTATATAAAGCTAGCACTACCGATATCTGGATATGGCCGATCATTGTCGTGCATACTTATAATATTTATATTTTGAATCGAAGCGCTCAAAATCTTTTATATTGTAAAAAACGTCATCCGTCTCTGATAGGTTTTACCACAGAACAACTTTATAACACGGCAACACTTTAATTAGTTATGAAATAAAACTTGATGTAGAGAGTATAAAACTCGATTGGTGGCATATATATAATGTTCTAATATTTGGACCTACACATCTACCGCCCTTACCCTAAAAATTTTATCGCATTTTTGTAATAATTTAATTTTTCATTTTTGAGGAAAAAGTGTAGGCACGTGCCTACAGTGCCTATAGGAAGCTACGCCACTGATGGGTGAAAGTTTTCAGGATTATTCTTGAAATTCAGGATTTTCAGTTCTCTGAAAGCCTTCTATTTTCTATGTAAAACTATAGAAAAACTGCTAAATTCAGGATTTTCAGGATTTTTAAAATTTCCAACTTTCACCCATGACCAGGTGTACAAAATCAGAAAATAAACTTGCATTTCATTGTTTAGAACTTTAGTTAAGATTATAAATATAAAAAGTTACTTTAACATATCCTTTTTGATAAATAAGCACAATAAAAAATAACGTTTCAATAACAACAACTGTGATTAGAGATAAACAAAAATGGCAGACGGGATTTTCCAAACGACAACGCATGCTCAGTGGTGCTCCTTTATGTTCAGAGATTTTCGCAATATTCCGAGCGCTCCGATGATAGGTTGAACACCACCAATTTAATTGTTTTGTTTATGGTACAAAATACCCAGGGTTGTCATTAACATTTTTTGCAGAAGGTTTGTTTTGAAATTGAGGCGGTCATTTCTATCTTTAACATGCATAACAAAGAGTGTTTTCTTAATTTTGAGGCGGCCTATAATGCATTTGAGACAGGCATTTTGGCCTCCTGCCGCCTCTTAATGACAACCCTGAAAGAAAGATCTGGTTAACATGTACACTTAACATGTTATGCTAAAATCATAATTCATAAGAGCTTTCCGCGCCATAGGTAGCACCTAATTATCCCCCGCCGATGGAATAGGGAGGGGAATATAGTTTTGGCGTTGTCTGTCCGTCCGTCCTTCTGTCCATCCGTCCGTCCGAATTTCGTTTCCGGAGTAGTTCTCTGCAACTACTGGCTGGAATTCAACGAAACTTTATGGGAATCATCAATATCAAGAGGAGATGCACATATCGCCGGCTTGTTCCGGTCCGACCCTTTAACTCAGAGTTATGGCCCTTGATTAGTTATGTAGTATGTATATAGAGTAAAAATCGTTTCCGGAGTAGTTCTCTGCAACTACTGGCTTGAATTCAACAAAACTTTATGGGAATCATCAATATCAAGAGGAGATGCGCATATCGCCGGCTTGTTCGCGTCCGACCCTTTAACTCTGAGTTATGGCCCTTGATTAGTTATGCAATATGCATATAGAGTAAAAATCGTTTCCGGAGTAGTTCTCTGCAACTACTGGCTGGAATTCAACAAAACTTTATGGGAACCTTCAATACCAAGAGGAGATGCGCATATCGTCAGCTTGTTCCGGTCAGACACTTTAACTCAGAGTTATGGCCCTAGATTAGTTATGTAGTATGTATATAGCGTAAAAATCGTTTCCGGAGTAGTTCTCTGCAACTACTGGCTGGAATTCAACGAAACTTTATGGGAATCATCAATACCAAGAGGAGATGTGCATATTTTCGGCTTGTTCCGGTCAGACTCTTAAACTCAGAGTTATGGCCCTTGATTAGTTATGCAGTATGCATATAGAGTAAAAATCGTTTCCGGAGTAGTTCTCTGCAACTACTGGCTGGAATTCAACGAAACTTTATGGGAATCATCAATAACCAAGAGGAGATGCGCATATCGTCGGCTTGTTCCGGTCAGACACTTTAACTCAGAGTTAAGGCCCTTGATTAGTTATGCAGTATCCATATAGAAAAATATTTGTTTCCTTGCTACTTCTCTGCTTCTACTGGCTTGAATTCAATGAAACTTTATGGGATACTAAGAGGAGATGTGCATATAGTCGCCTTGTTCCCGGTCAGATACTTATAACTCAGATTTATGGCCCTTGATTAGTTATGTAGTATGCATACATCTCATTGGCATTTCCAGATTTTACTATTTAACACAAAATTATGGCTCTGTTATTGCCCTGAATATTTATCAAGTTCAAAGAATATTACTGTTTATGCCATGATTAATATATAAATAAAGCCTTATGTCTTCAGTTGTTGTGTTAATAATAACCAGTAATCGGCGGGGGATATAAATTCAACGAATTTGCTTGTTTCATATTATGGTTTAAAATATTAATGTTCTCCATTTTATTA